CCACCCCATTCCCCCCGCAGCTCCTGAGATGCCGTCGGAGCGGGACCGTGATTCCTGCCTCCCAGCTCCATCCCAGTCTCCATCCCACTGGGACTGGGATTGTCCCACCACCCGCCAGCGCCTGGAGGAGCTTTACTTCCGCCCCCAGGATTATCTCCGAGCCCCTTCCCAGGATGTCACCGACTTCTGGAGTTTCTTCCAGCGCCTCCGGGATTTCCAGAGCCGGAAAATCCCCCCGGAATCCCCCCGGGATGAGCCCGGATCCGACTGTTCTCCCAACCCTCTGGGTTTACCTCAACGCTACGACCCCCGGTATCGGATCAACCTGTCGGTGCTGAGCTCTGACATGGAGGGCAGGCTCCAAGCTGGGAATTCCAGGCTGGAAGGAACACCCAGAGCTCGGGATTCCAAGCCGGAAAGAACATCCCGAGGCCGGAATTCCGAGCTCCCCCGGGAGCGGCTGCGGGAATTCCGCTCTGCCCTCCTGCACTACTTGGACTTCACCCAAAAACAAACCTTCTCCAAACTTCTCAAGCTGCAGCGGGAACGGGCGGCTCTTCCCATCGCCCAGTTCCGGGAGAAGCTCCTGGAGCTGGTGGCTGGGAACCAGGTGGTGGTGGTGGCCGGAGACACGGGATGTGGGAAATCCACCCAGGTCCCCCAGTATCTCCTGAGGGCTGGATATGGGCACGTGGCCTGTAGCCAACCCCGGCGCATCGGCTGCATCTCCCTGGCCAAGAGGGTGGGACTGGAGAGTCTGCACCAGTATGGGAACCAGGTGAGCTGGGAATGGGCTGGGAGCCCAACTGGGAGCCCCACCAGTCTGGGAACCTTGTCTCCTTTTGCTCCTGCATCTCCAGCCCCTTGTGCTCCTGCATCTCCAGCCCCTTGTGCTCCTGCATCTCCAGCCCCTTGTGCTCCTGCATCTCCAGCCCCTTGTGCTCCTGCATCTTTGTCTCCTTTTGCTCCTGCACCTCCAGCCCCTTGTGCTCCTGCATCTCCAGCCCCTTGTGCTCCTGCATCTCCAGCCCCTTGTGCTCCTGCATCTCCAGCCCCTTGTGCTCCTGCATCTCCAGCCCCTTCTCCTTCTGCATCTCCAGATCCTTCTCCTCCTGCATCTCCAGCCCTTTCTCCTCCTTCTCCAACCAGAACATTCCATGTTTTCTGGGGATTCCTCCTCACTTCCCCCCTCCCCACCCAGGTCGGTTACCAGATCCGCTTCGAGAGTTCCCGCTCTCCTGCCACCAGGATCCTCTTCCTCACCCAAGGGCTCCTCCTCCGGCAGCTCCAGCGGGATCCAACGCTTCCCACCTACCAGGTCCTCATCATGGATGAGGTCCACGAGCGCCACCTCCACGGGGATGTCCTCCTTGGGGTCCTCAAGGGCCTCCTGCCCACCCGGCCCGACCTCAAGCTGGTGCTGATGTCGGCCACCATCAACATCCAGCTGTTCTCCAGCTATTTTGGGGGTGCTCCAGTCCTGCAGGTGCCTGGGAGGATCTTCCCCATCTCGGTGAGGAGCAAAGGGTGGGATGTCCCACCTGGGGAGTGGGACCTCGGTGGTGGGCAGTGGGATCTAGGTGGGTGTTGGTGGGGACTGGGTAACTGGGAGCTGGGTAACTGGGAGCTGGGTGGTTGTTGGTAGGACCTGGGTGGTGGGAGCTGGGTAACTGGGAGCTGGGTGGTTGTTGGTGGGACCTGGGTAACTGGGAGCTGGGTGGTGGTTGGTGGGACCTGGGTAACTGGGAGCTGGGTTGTTGGTGGTGGGAGCTGAGTGGTGGTTGGTGGGACCTGGGTAAGTGGGAGCTGGGTGGTGGTTGGTGGGACCTGGGTAACTGGGAGCTGGGTGGTTGTTGGTGGGAGCTGGGTGGTGGGACCTGGTGGTGGTGGGTGGGACCAGGGTGGTTGAAAGTGGGATCCTCCTTGTTCCTCCTTTCCAGGTCATCTACCAGCCCATCCCAAAGGAAGAAGCTCCTGTGGTGGGAAAACCAGAGCGCCTGGATCCCCTCCCCTACCTCCGGGTCCTCCAAGCCATTGACCACAAGTACCCCCCAGAAGAACGTGGGGACCTCCTGGTGTTCCTCAGTGGGGTGGCTGAGATTGGGGCCGTGCTGGAGGCTGCCCAGACCTACGCCACCCACACCCAACGTTGGGTTGTCCTCCCCCTCCACAGCACCCTCTCGGTGACCGAGCAGGACAAGGTGAGTGGTGGCTTTCTTGGAGAACCTCTGTGGGTTCCTTGGAGAACCTCTGTGGCTTCCTTGGAGAACCTCCATGGGTTCCTTGGAGAACCTTCATGGGCTCCTTGGAGACCCTCCATGGCTTCCTTGGAGAACCTCTGTGGCTTCCTTGGAGAACCTCCATGGGTTCCTTGGAGAACCTTCATGGGCTCCTTGGAGACCCTCCATGGCTTCCTTGGAGAACCTCTGTGGCTTCCTTGGAGAACCTCCATGGGTTCCTTGGAGAACCTTCATGGGCTCCTTGGAGACCCTCCATGGCTTCCTTGGAGAACCTCTGTGGCTTCCTTGGAGAACCTCCATGGGTTCCTTGGAGAACCTTCATGGGCTCCTTGGAGACCCTCCATGGCTTCCTTGGAGAACCTCTGTGGCTTCCTTGGAGAACCTCCATGGGTTCCTTGGAGAACCTTCATGGGCTCCTTGGAGACCCTCCATGGCTTCCTTGGAGAACCTCTGTGGCTTCCTTGGAGAACCTCCATGGGTTCCTTGGAGAACCTTCATGGGCTCCTTGGAGACCCTCCATGGCTTCCTTGGAGAACCTCTGTGGCTTCCTTGGAGAACCTCCATGGGTTCCTTGGAGAACCTTCATGGGCTCCTTGGAGACCCTCCATGGCTTCCTTGGAGAACCTCTGTGGCTTCCTTGGAGAACCTCCATGGGTTCCTTGGAGAACCTTCATGGGCTCCTTGGAGACCCTCCATGGCTTCCTTGGAGAACCTCTGTGGCTTCCTTGGAGAACCTCCATGGGTTCCTTGGAGAACCTTCATGGGCTCCTTGGAGACCCTCCATGGCTTCCTTGGAGAACCTCTGTGGCTTCCTTGGAGAACCTCCATGGGTTCCTTGGAGAACCTTCATGGGCTCCTTGGAGACCCTCCATGGCTTCCTTGGAGAACCTCTGTGGCTTCCTTGGAGAACCTCCATGGGTTCCTTGGAGAACCTTCATGGGCTCCTTGGAGACCCTCCATGGCTTCCTTGGAGAACCTCTGTGGCTTCCTTGGAGAACCTCCATGGGTTCCTTGGAGAACCTTCATGGGCTCCTTGGAGACCCTCCATGGCTTCCTTGGAGAACCTCTGTGGCTTCCTTGGAGAACCTCCATGGGTTCCTTGGAGAACCTTCATGGGCTCCTTGGAGACCCTCCATGGCTTCCTTGGAGAACCTCTGTGGCTTCCTTGGAGAACCTCCATGGGTTCCTTGGAGAACCTTCATGGGCTCCTTGGAGACCCTCCATGGCTTCCTTGGAGAACCTCTGTGGCTTCCTTGGAGAACCTCCATGGGTTCCTTGGAGAACCTTCATGGGCTCCTTGGAGACCCTCCATGGCTTCCTTGGAGAACCTCTGTGGCTTCCTTGGAGAACCTCCATGGGTTCCTTGGAGAACCTTCATGGGCTCCTTGGAGAATGCTGGTGGATTCCACCCCATTCCCAAGAGCTCCTCTGAGGCTCTGGGTGCTGTTAGATGGGGACGAAGCTTCTCCTTGCTCTGGTGATGGTGATGGCAGCGTTGGGCTGTGGTGGCTTCTCCTCCAGGTGTTTGATGTGCCACCTCCTGGTGTCCGGAAGTGCATCCTGGCCACCAACATAGCTGAGACCTCGGTGACCATCGACGGCGTCCGCTTCGTCCTGGATTCCGGTACAGCCCTTCCCCGTGCTCTCCACTCTCTTCCCCTCCCTCTCCAGCCCCTTCTCCATCTTCTCCTCCATCTTCTCCTCCCAGGGAAGGTGAAGGAGATGAGTTACGACCCTCAGGGGAAGCTCCAGAGGCTCCAGGAGTTCTGGATCAGCCGGGCGAGCGCGGAGCAGCGGAAGGGCCGGGCGGGCAGGACCGGCCCCGGCGTCTGTTTCCGCCTCTACGCCGAGTCCGACTACGACTCCTTCACCCCTTACCCTGTTCCCGAGATCCAACGAGTTGCTCTCGACTCCCTGGTCCTCCAGGTGGACTTGGGGGATCCCTCTGCTCCTCTAGGGAGGGTTTAGGGACATTGGGGAGGGGAAAACTCACCCAAAATCCACCAGGAGATCAGGTTTTGAGGCTGGGATCCGCCAACCACCACCCTGGTCCCACCAACCACGTTCCCACTACCCAGGTCCCACCACCCATTAGGTCCCACCACCCACCAGATCCCACCAACCACCCAGGTCCCACCACCCACCAGGTCCCACCACCCAGATCCCACCACCCAGGTCCCACCACCCTGGTCCCACCAACCATGAAGTCCCACTGACCACCAGGTCCCACCAACCATTAGGTCCCACCAACCATCAGATCCCACCACCCACGTCCCACCAACCACCACCACCCACCACCCACCAGGTCCCACCAACCATTAGGTCCCACCACCCACCAGGTCCCACCACCCTGGTCCCACCAACCATGAGGTCCCACTGACCACCAGGTCCCACTGACCACCAGGTCCCACCAACCATTAGGTCCCACCAACCACTAGATCCCACCACCCACCAGGTCCCACCACCCACCAGGTCCCACCACCCACCAGGTCCCACCACCCATTAGGTCCCACCGACCACCAATTCCCACCACCCACATCCCACCATTTATATCCCACCAACCTCAATATTCATTGTCCAACTCATTCCGAGATGATTCTTCTTCCAGTTGAAGAGCATGGGACTGGGAGACCCTCGGACCTTCCCCTTCCTGGAGCCTCCTCCCACCTCCAGCTTGGAGACTTCCATCCTCTACCTGAAGGACCAAGGAGCTTTGGATGAATCCGAAGACTTGACCCCCATTGGGAACCTTCTGGCCCAGCTTCCGGTGGATGTGGTGGTGGGTGAGTGACTTGGGGAGCCCCAACTCCCCAAAAAGACCTTTTGGGGGGGGATGTCTCCTTGACCTTCATCCCACCCTTTACCACCTAGGGAAGATGTTGATCCTGGGAGCTTTGTTTGACCTGGCTGAGCCCACCTTGAGCGTGGCGGCCATCTTGAGCGTGGCCTCCCCGTTCCTGCGGCCCGCCCATCCCAACCCGGACTGCGCCACGGCCCGGAGGCCCCTGGAGAGCCCCCATGGAGACCCCCTCACCCTGCTCAACGTCTTCAACGAGTGGGTCCAGGTGGGAATTCTGGGGAAAGAAGGACAAATTTGGGGTTGGGGATGCTCAGATTAGAGTTGAGTTGGGTTTTATGGATGGAACGTCTTCAAGGAGTGGGCCCAGGTGGGAATTCCAGGGAATAGGGACAAATTTGGGATTGGAGACACTCAGATTTGAGTTGAGTTGGGTTTTATGGATGGGACGTCTTCAAGGAGTGGGTCCAGGTGGGAATTCCAGGGAATAAGAACAAATGTGGGGGTTGGAGACACTCAGATTTGAGTTGAGGTGGGTTTTATGGATGGAACATCTTCTAGGGTTGGGTCCAGGTGGGAATTCTGGGGAAAGAAGGACAAATGTGGGGGTTGGAGACACTCAGTTTTGGGTTGAGGTGGTTTTTATGGATGGAATGTCTTCAAGGAGTTGGTCCAGGTGGGAATTCTGGGGAAAGAAGGACAAGTTTGGGTTTGGGGATGCTCAGTTTTGGATTGAAATGGGTTTTATGGATGGAACATCTTCAAGGAGTCAGCCCAGGTGAGAATTCCAGGGAATAGGGACAAATTTTGGTTTGGAGACATTCAGATTTGAGTTGAGTTGGGTTTTATGGATGGAACATCTGCAAGGAGTTGGTCCAGGTGGGAATTCTGGGGAAAGAAGGACTAATTTGGGGTTGGGGATGCTCAGTTTTGAGTTGAGGTGGGTTTTATGGATGGGACATCTTCAAGGAGTCGGTCCAGGTGGGAATTCCAGGAAAATAAGGACAAATTTGGGGTTGGAGACACTCACATTTGAGTTGAGGTGGGTTTTATGGATGGGACATCTTCAAGGAGTCGGTCCAGGTGGGAATTCCAGGAAAATAAGGACAAATTTGGGGTTTGAGACACTCAGATTTGAGTTGAGTTGGGTTTTCTGGATGGAACGTCTTCTAGGGGTGGATCCAGGTGGGAATTCCAGGAAAATAAGGACAAATTTGGGGTTTGAGACACTCAGATTTGAGTTGAGTTGGGTTTTATGGCTGGGACGTCTTCTAGGGGTGGGTCCAGGTGGGAATTCCAGGAGAGAGGGACAGATGTGGGGTTGTCCCGGTGCAGGTGAAGTCGGAGCGGAGCGGCAGTTCCCGGAAGTGGTGCCGGCGCCGGGGCCTGGAGGAACATCGACTCTACGAAGCCGCCAACCTGCGGCGCCAGTTCCAGGTGGAGGAATTTGGGATTGGATTTGGGATCGAGGGGGTGAAAATTCCCCCTTTCCCCCACTCCGAACCCCGTGTTTTGTCCCACCACCTCAGGAGCTCCTTCGAGACCACCAGCTGCTGGAGGAACCTTCCCCCCAGCCCATGGACAGTTCCCGCCGGCAGATCCGGCACCGGGAACGCCGGGAACTCCACCGGCTCTGGCGTTTCCACACGGAGACACAAGGTCGGAAGCGCAAAGTCCTGCGGCTCCAGGATGGAGCTGATGGTTCCTCTGGGGAGGAGGAGGAGGATGGTGACAACCGTGGGAAGGGGGAACGTGACATTGATATCCAGGTGACCTTCCCATCCATCTCCTCCCTCCTGGAAAGCCAAACCCAGTCGCCCAGGCCCATAATTCCCTCCTTTCTCTCTTCAGGATGTCAAGTTCAAGCTCAGGCACAACGTTGAGGAGCTCCAGGCCGTGTCCAGCTCAACCCTCTCCTCTTCCCAACTTGCTCTCTGAGTTGAGTTGGGTTTTATGGCTGGGACGTCTTCTAGGGGTGGGTCCAGGTGGGAATTCCAGGAGAGAGGGACAGATGTGGGGTTGTCCCGGTGCAGGTGAAGTCGGAGCGGAGCGGCGGTTCCCGGAAGTGGTGCCGGCGCCGGGGCCTGGAGGAACATCGACTCTACGAAGCCGCCAACCTGCGGCGCCAGTTCCAGGTGGAGGAATTTGGGATTGGATTTGGGATCGAGGGGGTGAAAATTCCCCCTTTCCCCCACTCCGAACCCCGTGTTTTGTCCCACCACCTCAGGAGCTCCTTCGAGACCACCAGCTGCTGGAGGAACCTTCCCCCCAGCCCATGGACAGTTCCCGCCGGCAGATCCGGCACCGGGAACGCCGGGAACTCCACCGGCTCTGGCGTTTCCACACGGAGACACAAGGTCGGAAGCGCAAAGTCCTGCGGCTCCAGGATGGAGCTGATGGTTCCTCTGGGGAGGAGGAGGAGGATGGTGACAACCGTGGGAAGGGGGAACGTGACATTGATATCCAGGTGACCTTCCCATCCATCTCCTCCCTCCTGGAAAGCCAAACCCAGTCGCCCAGGCCCATAATTCCCTCCTTTCTCTCTTCAGGATGTCAAGTTCAAGCTCAGGCACAACGTTGAGGAGCTCCAGGCCGTGTCCAGCTCAACCCTCTCCTCTTCCCAACTTGCTCTGCTCAAGCTGGTCCTTTGCCGGGGTCTTTATCCCCAACTGGCCATTCCTGACCCGTTTAACAACGGCCGCAAGGATTCCGACCAGGTCCATGTCCTCTCCTTGTCCCATCCCACTTCCCAGAAGCTCCTTCTTCTCTCCTCTCTGTGCCCATTTCTCCTCCTTCTTGCAGATCTTCCACACTAAAACCAAACAAGGTGTTGTCCTTCATCCCACCTCTGTCTTCTCCACCAGCCCAGAGCTGCTCCATACCAAGGAGGGACCAGAACGTGGTGGGACCAAAGGTGGGCACAACCTCAATTTTAGAGGAACCAGCTTGTCCTACATGCCTCCAACCTTGGGATTGGGCAAATCCTGGAGGATGGAGATGTGGAGAAGCATAGGGTCTACCTGAGACACTTCCTGATTGTCCCTGCAGGCCCCAAGGATGGGTTGAGCTCCCACCACCAGCTCCTCGCCTTTGTCTCGCTGCTGGAGACCAACAAGCCCTACTTGGTGAACTGTGTCCGTGTCCCAGCTCTCCAGGTGAGCTCCTAGCTCCTCTCCAAGCCCTCCAGATGCCTTCAGCACTTCCAACTTGGATATCTGATGGATCTCCTCCAGGTTCTCCTGCTCTTCTCCCGCTCCTTGGACACCAGCGCCGACTGTTCCCGCCTGGTGGCCGATGGTTGGTTGGAGCTCGTCGTTCCCGACGCCGAATCCGCCCTGGGGCTCCTCTCCAGAGCTCTGGAGCTTCGTTCCTCTTGGGAAAAACTTCTCCATCAGCTGCTGGAAAGACGAGGAGATGACTTGGAATGTCGGCCGAGCTCCCGGGACGTCTCCACGCTCACCAGGAAGCTCCTGGAATTCCTGAGGATGGAGGTGACGTGGTGGGGCAAGGAAGTTCTAAATTCCATCCCCAGCACCTCGGGGTGGGGTTGAAGGTGGAAGAGGAAGGTGACGTGGCCTCCAAACCTCTGGAATTCCTCCAACCACCTCCACCTCCTCCAGCAGGTCCCGTATCAGCTGCGCCAACTGACGGGCCTGGAGAGGCAGAATCTCTACGTCGGTCCCCAGACGGTGGCGGCTGCTCCGCGGCTCCCGGGGCTCTTCCAGGGCTTGGAGATGACACCCCACCCTCTCAAAGGTGGCTACAGGGTGGCCGAGTTCCTCACCTACAACTGCTTGGCTGTGAGTCCCTTCCCACCCCCTCTCCTCCCGTATTCCCACCCCTCTCTAAGGAATTCTCAAGGTTCCTCTTGGTCTTCCCAGACGGACACGGATCTTTACAGCGATTGTCTCCGGAGCTTCTGGACGTGTCCCCACTGTGACCTTCACATGCCCTTCACCCCCCTGGAGCGCATGTCCCACCAAAGCACTTGCCAACCTCCTGAGGGTGAGTTTTCCAAAGGGAAGGAATCAAGGAAAAATCCAGGAGAACCACGTGGATCTTCCTTGTTGTCATCTCGGCTCCGTGGGCGAGAAGCCAGGATGTGTTTGTCCCAAAATGCCACCAAGGGCCACATTGAGGTGGGAGAAAAAAGTTCTTCCGTGGTTTTATTTTCCTCCTGATCCCTGTTTTTTTTTCCCACAGATTCCTTGGAAGAAGCACCAGAAACCTCCACCAGAACCCCCCCCCTCCACCGCTCCTACCACTGCGACATTTGCCAGCAGGAGTTTTCCTTCACCCCCACGGAAATTCTTCGGCACAAGAAGCAGCACCGGTGACCAGGACACTCCAGGATGTTCTCCAGAGCACCACCATCCTCCCTCATCCCATGGGAAGAAGACCTGGAGACCCATGGAATGGTGGGAGCTCCCCCCCTGCCACCCCAGATTTCTCCCTCCTTTGCTTTGGGGTGAGTCTGGCTGGATCCCAACAGGAATTTGGTGGGTTTGGGACATCCTGGTGGCTTCAGGACATTCTGGTGGCTTCAGGACATCCTGGTGGCTTCAGGACATTCTGGTGGCTTCCGGGCATTCCGCTGGCTTCTCGACA